GGCGGCCTGCGTCGCCGCGGAGAGGCCGGGGCGGGAAGGACGGGAGCCCTGGGAGCGGAAGGCGGGCAGGAGATTGGAAGCCGTAGCCTGGTCGGCCGGCCGGGCAGGTTCGTGGGCGGCCCAGGAGCTTGAGGAAGGACTGGCGCGTGTGCAGGAGGCAGAGGTGAAGGTTACGTAGGTGGGGGCCACTGAGATTTGGAGACCCCGAGCCTGCCCTGGGGGGGAGCAAAATGGGGCGGGCGAAGTGAATGTCTAAAAGGCCGCCGGATTTCCTGGAAGGAAGCCTCGAGTCCTGCTAAACGAACACAGCCTTCGGGGGAGAGTTTTGGCTTTTGAGCCGGCCGAGGTTTGCTAGCGTGGCTGGCCGTTTTGTTCCTTCTCGAAAGCTGCCCTGGCCCCCGTGAGGCCTGCCAGCCGCGCGCCCTTGGCACGCTCTCCTCTGCAGATGCGAGCAGGGAGCCCTGCCGGAACCCGCGCCTCCTGCCGCTCGCTCGGTTGTACTCTCCCCGGGCATGTGCTAGGCAAACCTGGAACAAAGCCTGGCCGCCTGGAGCAGGAGGCGGCGAGGAGACCGGTTGCCCGCGTTTAAATATTCCTTATACCAGGAGGAGGCTGCATCCCACCAAGGCATTGGATCTCTGTGTTTTCCCTTAGCACTCCAACTCCCCCCTCCCCCGTACCCCCTCCACCCCCGCAGGAGTAGAAATTAGGATAGAATAGTGTTTACCTATCGGAACTACAAAATTACTTTTTTCCTCTCTCGTCTCTAGTTTGCTGATCTGGCTGTCAGCTGTTGGAAGTCGGTCGGACTGAACACCTTCGTGGTTTTAGATCCATACCCGGGTGTAGTGAATAACACTGAACTTCGGTTCCTATAACGCCAGCCTGTGTCGATAGAGCTTGGCTTTGCGGGATAAAGAACGCACAGCCTCTCAACTGGACATAAATGGATCTAAAGACAGCAGTCTTTAACGCAGCTCGGGATGGTAAACTCCGGCTCCTCACAAAGTTGTTGGCCAGCAAGTCCAAAGAGGAGGTTTCCTCCTTGATCTCGGAGAAAACTAATGGGGCCACGCCGCTCCTGATGGCAGCCAGGTATGGGCACCTTGACATGGTGGAGTTCCTTCTAGAGCAGTGCAGCGCCTCCATAGAAGTCGGGGGCTCGGTGAATTTTGATGGTGAAACCATTGAGGGGGCACCCCCTTTATGGGCCGCTTCTGCAGCTGGGCATCTGAAGGTGGTCCAGTCTTTGTTGAATCATGGCGCATCTGTCAACAACACGACTTTGACCAATTCCACTCCTCTTCGGGCTGCCTGCTTTGATGGCCACCTGGAAATTGTGAAGTACCTTGTAGAACACAAAGCTGACTTGGAAGTCTCGAACCGACACGGGCATACATGCTTGATGATTTCATGTTACAAAGGACATAAAGAGATTGCTCAGTATTTACTTGAAAAGGGGGCAGATGTTAATCGGAAAAGTGTTAAAGGTGAGTCAAGCATCTTTTGTTGTTTCTACTGCTTGTTTCCAGGAAGTTTGATGTATAATGCATATGCACTCATTAGGTTGACCTGGACTTTGACGGACCTGTTGTAACAAGATAGCCCTTTCAAAAGGACCGCATTGAGCGCTTATCTCATATTTAATAATACATTGAACAAGTGTGCTAAAAGATCTTGTGTTAAACAGCATGTACTAGTTTTTTTCTTAGTTTTCCCTTAGTTTTTAGAACAATTTTGTAGTCTAAACTCTTCTCTTTAGTGAGTCATCTTAATGGGTGTCCTAAATTGGCATTTCAGTTGTTAATTCTGCCAGGGAGGGGTAGGCTAAACTGACCTGAAAGGATTAATTTAAATGGAAGAGGAGAAAAATCTGCTCCTGTATTCCATATTTCTTATGTGGCAAAGAAAACTTAAGTAATGAGATGCCAAAACTAGGATAGGCTAACAAAAGTGGATTCGTTGGCTAGTAACAATGTAAACATCTTTGCCCTGAAAAAGAGCTTAAGTTTAAGATGGTGTGTAATTTACATGGATTAGAATACATTTAGAGTAGCAAATGATAGTTTAGAATTTTTCGAACTTTCAAAAATTGTTGTTTTGTGAGAGCATCATTTTGACACTTGGGAACGTATTTTTCTGTGATAGATGTTTAGATCCCAGTAAATCAATTCACATGCTGATTTTTAAAACGGATTAAAATTTAAAGTAGAGGACGCACGTGGTGAAAAATCGCAATCACACAAATTGGTTTACAATGTTTGCAATGAAAAAGAAGTCAGATTACTCCCGATTTCTAGACTACAAACCCACTGGTGCCATCACTACTCCTATGTACAGATTTGTATGTATCCTTCCAGAGAGAATCTATACAAAGAGTTTGTATGTCTGTGTGTCCTCCCCCTCTTACACCTTCACTGTTGTTTGATCCATGCTGTTCAGTGTCTTTATTTTCAACCTTACTTTACCTTGTATGTCATTCAACACCAACCCATAACTACTTCATTCTGTTTAATGGCTGCACAGTATTTCATTGTATGCACGTAAATCATTGATTTACCTAGTCCCTACTGATACACATTGAGGTCACATCTGGTACAGTGCCACTGTGAATGATCTTGCACACAAGTGTAATCACTAACATAAATGGAATGGAATTGCTGAATCAAAGTGAATGTGCATTTATAATTATGATAGTGTCAGATTGCCTTTCTGAGAGATTAAACCACCCAGTTATGGGCACTATATAACTATATAGTGTCTGTATTACTGAATACAGACATCATCATATAGTCCAATTTAAATTTTAAAAAGAAGTTTGTTTTTAAAACAATACCAGCTCATGATTATCTGTAAAAAAATTTTCCAGAGGAAATGTAAAAATCCCATAAAATATCAGCCCTTAGAGATATTTTTGAAATTTACATGCAGGTATGTATGTATGCACTTTTATTTTACATTATCCTATAACCATATTTTTAAAGGTTAATAAATGTTACTTTATTGTATAGCTCCTTTTCAGTAGCTGCAAGCTTTTCTGTTGATTGAGTTTTATGTTGCTTTTGGTTTTCCAGTTTGATAAAAATTTCTCTGCACACCTTCTTTGTTACATATACTTCATTCCTTTCTAGTTTAAAGGTTGATTCTTGGTTGAAAAGATGGCATGGTTTAACAAAAAAATTATCTTAAACCATCACCATTCTTTTAAAGTATGTTCATTTTAGAGAGAACAAATTAAAGTGACCACATTACTATTGAGTTTGCTCTGTATTCCTAACTAAAAGAAAAGGGTTTAAAGGAATGACAGCTTGTTCAGGTTTGTTGGAATCCTTTTTTTATTCATTGGGCTCACCTTTGATTGATAATTTCATATATTGAAGTCAAATGGGGTATGTCCTAGAGTTTTATGTCATTTGTAGAGTTAAATACAGTTATAATTTTTCTTATGCTTTTCAAAGCTGCTTTATACACTTAAGGAGATGTACAGTATATTTGAGAACTAGATGCTGTAGACATATTTTTGTCAGCATTTTTCTCTGTTAAACTGAGCTATTTCATCAAAATTGGTTTACAATGTTTGTAAACCTTGTGTGCGAGGTCTCAACCTTGTGTGCGAGGGTGTGAAGCACTTTTGGCCAAATGCCTTGCTGATTCTAAGTCGTCATCCACCCCCCCATTTTTTTTGCAGAATCAATGTCTAATATTTATGCCTTAAAACTACCAAACAGTGCATGTAACACGGGAAAACTGAGACAGGGCCACTGGAGAAAAGCCTGGCACAGCAGCCCGACAGGATCAGTTAGAATTGACTCAGTGGTAGTGGGGTTAGTATAAGAAGTAAAAAGACTGGGAAAACAACAACAAAGCTCCAGGGGTGAATTCCTCATGAAATTTGTGTCAGCCTTAGGAAATGGTTCTGGAGGAGAGTGTCCATAGATTGTGCTTGGCCTGCTTAAACATAAAATGCATATGGTTTTAATTTCTTTCCATTACGTTTTAAAAGACTATTTTGAACGTGCTATAACCTAAGGTGAAGTTTCTTCATTCATTCAAGAGAGTGCCAGGCTAGACAGGATATACACAGACGAGTAAGACAGGATATCCAGTCCTTGATTACTTGCTCTTGAGGAGCTTATGGCTTGAACCTAGAGACAGCTTCATAAGCAGATACTTAAACCATGCTAGGGTAAACGTAAGAGCATTTTCTCTGTTAGATATTTGGAAGTACTTTATCCCCAGCCAACACATTGTATGAAGAGACAGAATGTTCCTTCTTTTTGCATCGCATTCAAAAAGAGGGGGGAATCTATGAGGGACTTAGGAATACTTCTATAGTTTATGATGTAATACAATAAGTGATTTTTGAAAAAAACATTAGTTCCTATTTAAGACCTAAGACCTCAAAACTAGAAATGACTAGGCAAGCCCCTCTCAAAACTATCATAATGATCATCAAGCACTTCATGGCTAATCATCTTTGGCTTGAAATGAAAATATAACTTATTCTAACATTGAACTTTCTTCTCTTCTTTTTGAGGGCTCAGAATACAGCTTTGCAGATCTCTAGTGAGGTAATTAAATCTTTAAATCTACTTTTACACTCAGCTCTTCCAGGAAGTAAGCAGTAAAATGCTTGATTCTGCACTGCAGATTAACTAGTACTACACATCAACTCAAGGAGCACTGGTGGCATTTGACTGTGAACTGCAAAGTCCGCAGTTCAAAAACACCAGCACTCCGTAGGAGAAAGATGAGGCTCTCCACTCCCATGAAAAGTTGCAATCTTGGAACACACAGGGCCAATTCTACTCTGTCCTATAGAGTCACTATGAGTTGAAATCAACCTGGCGGCAGTGAGACCAACTCAGCTCTACGTTAGGATTGGAGGCTGGCCTGTGACTCTGTTGACCCTGGTTGGTCAGTTACTGGAGAGAGACCACAGGTAATCAAATAAATTGGGAATGAGATATTTGTACATGCACTTTGTGTAGGCAAGGCATTGTATTGGACATTGTGGAGACTAAGAGAAGACGTAAGATGTCACTTTTATTAACTGCAAAAGGAACAACAGTGTAGAAACAACCAGTGCTGCAGGATTTTAGAGGCAAAGTATAGTATACACTGACAAGGAATGCTTCACAGAGAAAGTAGAACTTGAGCTGGACATTTAAAAGATCATTGGCATTCAGAGCTATAGAAGGGATTTCATTTTGCAGACATAAGAAATGGCATCGAGAAAGGCACAAAGATGTGCTGGCACTAGGAAAAATGTCAAATGTGCAAAATTAGAAAATAGGCACTTAAGAGGTAGATATGAAAGATATTAGGCTCCGGGGAAAGGAGCTTGATTTTATTCTTTATGCAGTGATAAGTAGAGATCTGGGATTTTTGTAGAGAAACCATCTTTCTTCCATATTATAAGTTCTTTGAGGGGAGTGACCTGATGCTTGTATTTCATGCATTGGGAAGAATACTTTTCTCATAGTGGGCATTTGGTAATTTGTTGAACAAATGTGCTGAATTTAAGAGGAAAGTTTATAATCTCTTTCATGACAAGAACTGTCTTTTAGTCCTTTTCTTATACCTAAATGTATACATGAAGACTTAAAGTAACTAAGTAATTGGCAAAATCGAATCTGAAAGGTAAGATTGAGAAAAGGAATGAAATCAGCTAAGTATGTGACAGATCTAACTTTTATTGGAAGGACTTAAGGGAAAACTAGTTTAGGCAGTTGGTTGACTTTAGTTTATAACTATGCCCAATACCTGGCCTCAACAATTATCCATTGCTTCAACAATTATCCACAATTGTGACAGTTTTTAAAAATACAGTTTTCTTTCTCATATTTATTTTTTCATGTAGGGGAGCCTGGTGGCATAGTGGTTATTCATTGGTCTGCTAACCACAAGATCAGTGCAAAACCACGAGCCCTGTGCAGGAGTAAGAGGGAAGATGAGACTTTCTATTCCTATAAAGAGTTAAAGTCTTTGAAACCCACAGGGGCAGTTCTAACCTGACCTATAGGGTTGCTATGAGTCAGCATCAATTTGATGGCAGTGGAGGTTGGTTTGGGTGAGTTTAAAGCAAGTCCCATATATCCTGATAAGGAAATGTAATAAGTCCCATATATCCTGATAAGGATATGTAATTAAAAAAAAAATCCTATTTCCCCCCACTGTAAATGTAGAAGAATCGCAAGTAAGAAAATTGTCCCAATTAAGGACTTTTGGTTTTAAGATCATGACTGCTGTCATGGTAGATAGGCTATTTCAGTGTGTTATATGAGAATTGAAACTGAAGTTCTGTTTTTCTTCTTGACTCAGAACAGCCCTTAGCTCTTAGTTACCTGAGCACACCTATTTGTAGAGAAGAGTAGAAGGGAGAGACTTAAAATTTTTTTTTAAAACTTATTTTATTGAGGGCTCATACAATTCTTATCACAGTCCATACATCCATCCATTGAGTCAAGCACACATGTACACCTGTTGC